GCTTTAAACCATATGGAAATAGCCTTGATCCCATTGAATCAAATGCTGATTCTCTTATTAGTTTGAACTTCTGTTTTTCAATGGTTTACTTGCCCTATTAATTCTTCTTCGTGACTTTTCAGCAAGATGGAAAATAAAACCCTAGCCAATCTGTGCTGTAGCAGGTTTCTGCTTTCTATTACCCCTTGGCTTAGAGAAAGTTAAAGCCAAAATCTGTCAAATTTCTTTAATATTGCACAGGGATGTTATAATCAAAGATGTATGAGTTCAATCTGGAAGCCTTTTCTACTTACAAACTATTCATTCAATCTTGTTTTAATCATCAAACTGTAGAAACTTATTTGGCTTATTTCAAAATTTTATCCCTCAGCAGTATTAAAAGAGAGGTACAGTAGCATTCCATTCACTGAAAGATGCTGGATTTTTTTTTTTTTTTATTAGAATGAACATAAGACTCTAATTGATGTATTTTTCATTGCCCGTTCTTTGATCATTTACATGCAGGCATACTTTTACCACTTCCTAACAAGAACCAAATCTGGGGAAAAGCAGCATATTTCCTAGTTTTAGACCGGAATCATACTATCATTCAATAAAGTTGCTATATTTTTAGTTGTGCTTGTTTCCATAAGAAGATATAAGATATCCTAATCTTAGTGTTGTGACATGACAAGATTTATTTTATTTTATTTATTCCATTTCTACTTTATTTTTATCCTTTATTTTTATCCTAAGAGCCTTGATAGTACAGTGGTTTACGCACCCTGTTATTAACACAGCTGCCTGCAATTTCTGCTGGTTCGAATCTCTCCAAGGCTCAAGGTTGACTCAGCCTTCCATCCTTTCTAAGGTAGGTGAAATGAGGACCCAGTTTGTGGGGGCAATAAGCTGACTTTGTATAAAATATACAAAAGTATGAAGGCTATTGCTTAACATATTGTAAGCCGCCCTGAGTCTCCAGAGAAGGGCGGCATATAAATCAAATTAAAATAAAAAAATAAAAATAAAATCCTATTTCTAGTACCTATTTTTTTCTGAAATGTTTAGGTTGCGTATGGCTGGTCATTGATCATAATTAAATATGTATTTTTTATCTATCTATCTATCTATCTATCTATCTATCTATCTATCTAATTTGTTGGGTAGCTTGTTTAAAATATTAATCAACCAATTTAACAATACAAGAACATGTGTAATTTGTCAGGACATCAGGAAATGAATTGACAAGGAAAAATGCCATTGGGCAGCAGCATGGAATATTGCTGACAACTCCATTTTAAGATTCCATCCTTTTGGGTCATGTGATTCAAAGCATAATTATTACCGTATTTTCCGGCTTAAAAAGACGACTTTTTAACACATGAAAATCTTCTCAAAAGTCGGGGGTCGTCTTATACGCCGGGTGTCGTTCTCCTGTAACCAGGCAGACAAGCCCGAAAGGCTCTGATGAGCCTTAAATGGCTCTGGCGATCCAAGCTCTGACGATCCCAGCTTTGCCTGCTAATCAGGCAACGCAGCTGGGATCGCCAGAGCCATGTAAAAGGAAAAAAGTTTTCCCCCTCCAGCTTGCTTACCTTAGCTGCTAGTCGCAACGCTTGCCTTGCTTCGCTTGCCTGAATCCATTCCATCAGCAAGCCACTCCCTGCCTGCAATCAAGCAGGCAGGGAGTTGTGGACTTCAACTCCCAGAATTCCTCAGCCAGCAAAACAAAGCTGGCTGAGGAATTCTGGGAATTGAAGTCTACAAGTCTTAAAGTTGCCAAGGTTGGAGACCCCTGTTCTATTGGGTAAGTTTTTTCCCCTTTGGGAGCTTTAAAAAAATAGTAAATTGGGGTTTTTTTTAGTTGTTCTTTTTTAGACCTAGCCATTTAAAGTTTAGGAAGTTTTAAATTTAGTTTTCATATAAAAATAAAAATAAAATAAAATAAAATAATATTTGTGCAGCTTTCTGAGATTTAGTGTTTGTTTTTTTTTAATTTGATTTATATGCCGCCCTTCTCCGGAGACTCAGGGCGGCTTACAATGTGCTCAGCAATAGCCTTCATCCTTTTGTATATTTATACAAAGTCAGCTTATTGCCCCCACAACTGGGTCCTCAATTTACCTACCTTAGAAAGGATGGAAGGCTGAGTCAATCTTGAGCCTTGGCGAGATTCGAACCTGCAGTAATTGCAGGCAGCTGGTCTTAATAACCAGCTTAATAACAGGGTGCCTTAGACTACTGTACTACCAAGGCTTTTTAGCGTTTCTGTAGTGTTTCACTCTAACTACACAAACACACAAAATTTCACAAAGCTGTATGTGGAATTTTGTGGGGGTAAAGTATGAAAGTTGTTTTTTTGGGCTTTTTGTGGCTGTGTGAGGTTCCTGCTTGTTGCAGGGGCCATTTTGGGTCTAGCACAGTTGCTTTTACATTGTGGGTGAGCCAGTTGATGTTTTTTAATTTTTATTTGGTGTGCGTTGGAAGAGGGGTAGTCTTATACGGCGAGTATAGCCCAAACCCTATATTTTAACAGGAAAAGTCGGGGGTCGTCTTATACGCCCAGTCGTCTTATACGCCGGAAAATACGGTATTAAGGCGTTAGAAAGAATTCCTGCTTTTCACACTTCGTTTTCATGATTGACACTTTTATTAGCTTTATCTAGTTACTACCTCAACTGAAAAAAGTAGTTAGGTTTAATGTGCTTAAAATTTTCTTTTCATTCTTCATTCTTGATATGTCAGTGATACCTTTAATTATTCTTATCAATTGTCTGGCAGATAGGAAGTGTAATCTTAGTCGTTTTAATCATGCATATTTTTTCTCTTTTTTAATTTTATTCTCTTAGACAGAATGATTGAAGATACTAATAACTTCTGTTAATCAGTTTCATTATCCTGAAATAGGACTCTAAAGTCTGCAAATATCTTGAATATTTTATGCCCTACAGTTGCCTTTTTTTCCGTGATCATAGTATCTATTTCTGGTTACAAAAGAATTCCACAAAAGCAAATATGCCTTGTATTATTAAAAATAATATTGTGAGGGCCTGGGAGGGTCACAAGTTCCTCCTGTAAGAAAGAGTTGATACTCATTGGTGATACTTTTTCTTGAAGTTGGGGTTGGGGCAGTCCCAACTTCAGCATTCAACACCTGGCTATTATGTTCAGGAGCTAATGATGTCAGGGTATGGGTCTGTTTTGTTACGGTATGCTATTGTTTAAAATGAATGTATCTCCTTTGCTTGAATCCAACAAAAGAAGCAGTGTATAAAATATGATATGGCCAAGTAGCTCCATCTTTGCGGTAGTGAAAATTATAAAGATGGCGAAAAGCTTGTTCACAGAGCCTTTAATCTCTAATTTTAATTGTAAAAATTGCCACTGGTTAACTGACACTGGAGATGGTTGATTGTTTTATGGATTTTTTAATGCTGTGTATTGGTTGTATAAGTTTTATAGGATTATATTGTAAACTTCAAGGAAATATTTTTTAAAAAAGCTTGGCAATACACAAAACAATTAGTAGAAAAAACCACTGCTAGATAAGGGTAAAGGATAATCCTCATGGAAAGAGTTTCTTCTCAAGCTCATTAATTGGTAAGGAAGTGCAAGCCAGCTCTGGCCATTCCCACCGTGCCTATAGTCAGGGTGATTGTATGCTGTTGTGCAGTTAGTTCTGAGGGTCACAGAAATGATGCTGTTGACCATAGAGAAGTGTCAGGGTGTTTAAGAATTTCTGCATTGTTTTCTTGGTGCTGTTTTTCAGCATATTTTATTGTTGGGACTCCTCAGTAGTGCTCTTATGACATTCATATTTCCATTACTGTAAATCCCCCCAGGTAGCCTGCACATCCCATCCTGAAAAAGCCTAATAGAAGCTAATCATTCATTATACTTTTTAGGATTCAATGAAAACCTGGGAAGCTGTAACTAGTTGTGTGTAAAATATTTCAAAGTATTTTAAAGTCAAAACAAAGTGTTCCTCTCTCAATGGAAATGCTCTGATACTGTTTGAGCCTCACCAGGAGTATTCTCACCTCCAAATGGGGCTGCTTTGAGGTCAGAACACTTCCAATAAGGTTAAAACAGTTTGAAGCCTTTTCCACACCTGTTTTACAAATCCCTGGAGATATGGTTGTACAGTGAAAGGCTAGATATTCATACACGTTCTTTGGTTATCATATAACTAAAGAAATTCCAAAACATTGTATACTGTCCATCACCAAGAGATTAAATACTCTTAACTCTTGAAATACCAGAACCAATAAAGACATTCAATAAAAATCTTCTGCACAGCACTACAGAGATCCAAGTTTTTATTTTTATTTTAATTATTTGTTAATTTACATCCTTTTGTTTCAGTCAAGAACTCAAGGTAGTATATATAGTATTATTTAAGGTTGGATCGAGAGAATGACTGGCCTAAAGTATCTCAGTGAGTTTTGATACCTAAGAACAATAATATCCCTGATTCCAGTCCAGCATTTTAACTAGTACTTCACACCAGCAGTCCAGTGCTTCATTTGTTCATTTTGTTCTTGTACCGGTACTACCTGGCCATTTTGGGTGTCTTTGTTTTTTCAGTTAGCTTGAATGCCTCGTTTGAAAAATGGGAATGGTTCTCAAAGCTGCTATTTGAAGTTCTGGTCTTAGCGTGATTACGTATTGGGATTTGTTTGGACTCTCTATTTTTCAGATATTCTCCAATCCATATCTCTAAAAATAACAGCATGACCCTACAATATGTATTCATTCATAGTTACAGTAATTTTAGAACATTTTGGGAACAACTTAAGTTCTGTAATTTTTATTATAGTAACTCTACAGTGTGGTTCTAGTGTGATGCATATGGTGTCCTAAAATTCAACTTTTAGTCAGCTTCTCTGAATCATTTCATATGCTACCTTTTCTATAAGTATAACAATAACAGGGGAGGTAAAATGGTAAATATAATAGCTATTAGAAATGAAGAAAATTTGAACTGACAGAAACATTTCCAATTGTTTGTTTCTCTGCAGACAAAAAGGAAGTAAAGGTGGGAGAATATAATGCTATACTTGATTCACTGGAAATCATCAATAATTCCATCAAATTCCACGGTAAGGCAGGACTATAGAAAGGGCACGTGATTGGTGTATTTCTGTATAAGGCTCAGATCACATATAATGTAAGACAAATAGAGCTGTTTCAATAGTACTTTTGGGAAAAGTCCAATGATTGCCTTAAGAAATCTGTAGTGATTAAGAGATCAGTTAAAAGTTTATTCACATTAACTTTTTTATTCTACCTTTTCTTGGTGATATGGTTAAATAAGAACTGAGCAAAAAGACGCCCTAAAACCAATAATGTGTCTTTTCTGCTATAATTGCTAAGAGTCATCACTGACACTGATCCTACCAATCAACGCATGAAAAAGTAGATTAAGAACAATTATTTCCTCTATTTACAATTCAGTTCCTTCCCAGAAGTTTAAAGAGATTTTTGCTCATATCCAGGATATAATGCTTTATTGCTATAAAGAGGAGTAATTTTCAGAATTACCCAGTTTGTTCTCTGAAGCACTTGAGGGCAGGATGAATAATGGGTGGAAGCTCGTCAGAGGGAGATCCAACCTGGAAATAAGGAGAAATTTCCTGACAGTGAAAACAATGGAACAGCTTGCCTCCTAGAGTTGTGGGTGCTCCATTGCTGGAGGTTTTCAAGAAAAGATTGGATAACCATTTGTCTGGGATGAAATAAGGACTCTTGTCTGGGGCAGGGGGATTGACTAGAATGGTTGGATTCCAAATCCCCTTCCAGCCCTATGATTCTATGAGATGGTTGTATGATCATTCAAGTTCTCCCAATTTTGACCAGTGCCTAAAAAGTTTCAAGATTCAGATTCAAGAATGCACCACTCATTGGAGCACAATATACTGGTCTTCTATAATTTATCTCTAACTTATCATTTCATAGGAGGTAGATATGTTGAAAATAAGGCTGAATATACAAAACTGGGATAGCCAGTTGTACTTATTTACTTTTTTCTTTTCACTGTAGGGAAAGAACCTCCAAAGGATAGAACAATTATCCAAAAGCAACTTCGTAAGATTTCTCTGCCTCTCTACAGTATTCTTTCAGCACTTACTATCTTGGGGATGATCATGGCCAGTGCGTTTTTGTTCTTTAACATCAAAAACAGAAATCAGAAGTAAGTTGTACATTTTGGATCAGGTACGAGAAATGTTGAGGCTACACTCCTTTGTGCACAAGTCTGTTTGGGATGCTCCCACCTAATTTTCCATTTCTCCCCATCCAGTTTATTGCAATACTGTAGTATTATATATTACTTTGGAGAGGAGTTCACTCTTACTAAACTCAAGAGGGGTACTGAGTAACACATCTTGTATGCATCTGATTTCAGTGGCTCAAATGAATGAATTTTCTTCCATTGGAAGCTATGTTTCAATACTGTTTTATTTTGGCTACATTTTTAAAAAATTAATTACTAGTCCTTTAAAGTATTGTAATGGTGTATGGAAATAACCTTGGGAAATGGGAAGAGATGCTGTTAGAAAATAGTCTGATAAGGGAGGGCATAACCTGCAGCCGTATAATGGGAAGAGAAATAGGGTCCGAAGGGACATGTGCCCCCAGCAAGTTCTCAGACTATAAAGGAGATGGCAGGAGACTTGTAGTTTCAGACCTACATGATTCTGTTAACGTAGCCTTATAAAAAAAGTAGAATTAATTCATTGGGTTATGTTTCCTGTCTTGTCTACCTGGGAAAGTTGACACATATTTTTATCTTGAAACATTTTATTAAAGCTTTTCATTCTGTTTGATCAAAATTAGTGTTTTCCACTGTGTATTGTTAGCATAATCCCCAGCTAATTAAACCACTGTGTAATATTAACAAGTTGTTTAGTATAAAAGATCAAACATATTTAATCATAATAATACTGATCTGAACTTAATTATAAAGCTAGTAGATAGCTTTCTATATTTCTGAAATTCTGCACAAAAATCTACTATAGTGATTAACTTCCTGAGAGTTAATTCTTGACCTGTTTCTAGACAGAGCTACTTCTATATTTCTGTACAGTTAAATAATCCATCCATCTCTTATAGCTGACATATGATAATTTTAAAAGACATTTGAAGCTATGATTTTTGTTTTAAAAAATAGCTGCCAATTTATTTTAACCAATATACCGTTCTAGCAATTTAAATGTTATCTCAGCATGCATCCATAATAAGTATAGCTAGTATTTAAAAAGTAGCTGTTTACTAGAGGGGACAATTATAATCCTATTGTTTTAAAGAAGGTAAAAGTGCTAAACCAGATACTGTAGAATCCATATTTACATCCATAGAGAACATGAGAAGCAAGACATCATTCAGTCTAAATTCCTGCCTTCTGTTTTTGCAATTTCCAAATGTGTGTGAAATGCAGAACCATATCTGGAGACAGAATTAATGTGGATGAAAGCATGGATTTCCTTCTTCCTTAATCTTTGGATAAAAGTTGTCTTTGTACTATCAGCATGGCTCTTTAGACGATAAACTCTAAATGATAAAAATAAATCTAAGTGGAAGAAAATCTTGGAAGAAAAACTCTAGCTTGACTCTTTCTTCTTTTGATCAAAAGGCCAATTAGAAATTAGAAATTATAGCTGACCTTCAAATTTACAAAAAGATAGGAATTCAATTTCCAGTCATGCAATCATTTATATGCAGGATTGGGCTAATAACTCTTTTGCCTGTTACCTTTCTTATATTACAGTGCTGAAATACCAGAGGGCTTTATGCTTCTTCAGTGTAAAAATCTTCTCTTATTCCCAATGATGTAGTGTCATTAAGCTATCAGAATATACAATTGAAATAACAATTCTACCTTGTGGGAATACATATAACTATATACATATATATATATACTTATATTACACACACACACACACACACACACACACGTATATTGTATGAACCCAGAATCATGTTCTGTACGATGGGTGGCTATATAAATATGCTAAATAAATATACTGTGTGTGTGTAGCATTTATTTATCATATTTACATAGCCACCCATCGCACAGAACATGACTCTGAATGGCATACAATAAAAACACAGAATAAAAACTAACAAAAAGCATTATACAATTAAAAATACCAGTCTCGATGACAGAGTAGCACAGAGAGCAATACAGCCATCTCACTAATTCACCATTATCTTGCGATCCCCAAGCTTGATGACACAACTGTATTTTAAGGGACTTCTGGAAGATTATCTGGGACAGGGCAGAATGATATTCAACAGGGCAGGAGCCATGTTAGAAAAGGTCAGTCTTTGAGATCCCGCCACACGATACTCCTTTGCAGATCGGACCCATAACATATCTCTTATGCTAGACCTAATAGGATGGGCAGATATAATCAGATTGAGGTGGTTCCTGAGGTACCCTGGCCTGATGCCATCAAGGGCTTTAAAAGTCTAAAACAACATAATGAATTGAACTTGGAAGCAAACTGGCAACCAATGCAGTCTGCAGATCACAGATGTAACATGTGACCTTCTAGAGGCATACATAATTGCCTTCACCAGTGCATTTTATACCAGCTGAAGCTTGCAAACACTTTTAGGGTAGTGTCATGTGGAGTACTATCTGGGAGCTGATCAGAGTGTGAGTAATTGTGCATTGGGGATGGGTGCAACTGGCACACAACACAAAACTGTGCAAAGGCTTTTCTACCCACCACTGCCGCCTGCTCTTTGAATAGGAATTGGGAGTCCAGGATGGCCCCCAGATTGCAGACTAGGTCTGTTTGATGCACTGTAACCGCATCTATTACCAAATATGGCATAGTCCCTGATTCAGAGGGGCCCAAACCCAGACCCACTCAGTTTTTCCAGAGATTAGTCTGTTGATCCCCGTCCTGACCTCCATAGCCTCCAAGCCTAGAATAGAACATTAGCAGCATTGCTTAATCGATCAAGCACAAAAAAATAATTGCATATCATTAGCATACTGATTATACCACATTCTACAGTGTGTGTAGCATTTATTTATCACCCAGTAGCTTCATGATTATTTCACCCAGTAGCTTCATGTAAATATTGAAGAGGAGAGGAGAAAGCACCAAAACCTGCAGAATCCCACAAAGAAGGACAGGATCTCTCTTTCCCAAACACTACCAACTGGTATCGACCCTGGAGAAAGGAGGAGACTAAGCACAATACAGTACTGCCTACCCCCAAGCCTTGGATCTGGTCCAGAAGTATACCATGATCAGTAGGATTGAAGAGGTTAAGAGGAAGTCAAAAGAGCAAAGGTGGACGTAGAACCTCCATCTCATTCCCACCAGAGGTCAACTAAAAGTGTGTAACCAATGCTATTTCCATCCCATACTCAGGCCTAAATCCTGAGTAAAGGGGTCCAGATAATACATCATTCAGAATTCTCTAAAACTGCTGTGTGACCATCTTTTCAACTACCTTTCTCCAAAAGGAAAGGTTAGATATTGAGTGAAAATTAGCCAATATGATGAGACTAAGCAATTGCTTCTTGAGTAGGGGATGAACCACTGCTTCCTTAAGAAGTGAAGGAACAACCTTTCATTCAAGGAGGAATTCACCATTGCCAGAACTCACCCACATGAATGGGCAGCTTTAGTTAGCCAGGAGACCAGTGATTGAGCTCACAATCCACTTCCTCTGGACCAACTGGCTGAAACCAATATCGGATAACAGGACAAGTTATCTCCCTTGGCATCTCCCTAAGACTGCAGTAAAACCAGCATCCAACTGAGAATGGATGTGAGCAATTTTGTTCAATAGCTGCTGAGCAAATTCTTCCACACAGCCTCAGAGTCTCTGAGCCCCCTCTACCCAAGAAGGCCTGTGTCATCCAAAACAAAGTTATGAGGCAGCTACCTATGGATGCAGTAAAGGCGGAGAAGTTCTGTGGCTTCACCACCCTTACTGTCTCAAGGTAGGCTTTAATAGTAGCTCTAGCCCAGTTTGGTCATGTTTGTCCCTTGCCAAGCACCAACAGCTCTAGATGTTTCTTCTCTCATTTCATCTCCCTCAATTCTTCAGTGAATCACCAGATCTTCACATGGACTATGTAGCAGACCAGGAACAACCCCAAGTTCCCTTATCATCAACTCATCATGGTCCATCAGTCTCCAAATGGGGACTGATAGAACAAATTTTGCCTCCCTACAGTGGATAGTAGCAACAAAGAATCCTGTGGTAATCAGGGCATGATGTTCCCATGACAAAAGGGATATCAATATCTTATCAGATCAAAGTTATGGCATTTACAACATCATAGTAAAGTTCTGTATCATTGCTTGCCTCGCAAGTGGTCTGCTGGTTAGTGTGCAAATGATTCTGCCCTTTTTTCTATATATTTTTTTGATAACACTGTATGCTCATCTCTTGATGTAACAGTTAAATATATAGTTTATTGAGACTGATAAAAGCTGAAGCTTTTGAAGAACCAAAAGTTATCTTAAAAAAGTGGGATATTATACTTTTTTCCTGTGGGTTTTCAAGTTTTTCCACAGAACAGGAAACAATATTTTTCTTATTCTAACTTATTTCATTTGTTTATTTATCAATTTTATATATTACCCATGTCATTATTGAGTGACTCTAAGCTGCTTTAATACATTTAAATGTATTTAAATTATTTTAAAATTATTTATTAATTTTATTAGATTTAGAATAATTCTAATGAAGTTAGAGATATGCAGTGATATGCCCTATGTTCTGAAGTCATTGTTGGTAATTGGAGTGTTTTTTGTTTTGGGGCTCCTATTGTTGTTCCCTCTGTTAATATTTTGATTTTTGAAGGAAATGTTTCTAGTACAATATTTGCAGTCTAAGATATTAAAAAGAGGTAGGTTGAATATTGATCAACAAAAATCATATTGAATTGATTTATAGAAATTGTCTTTTCTTCTCCCAAAGGCTAATAAAGATGTCTAGTCCTTACATGAACAATCTCATTATTCTTGGGGGAATGCTGTCCTATGCATCTATATTCCTTTTCGGGCTTGATGGATCTTTTGTTTCTGAGAAAACATTTGAGACTCTTTGTACTGTAAGTAATTCTGAACCATTTTATATAAAATTCATATTCCTATAAAATTTTTCTATACTTTCATTGCAAATACTTATGCATTTGAACTTTGAAACATTGCAACTTTGATTAAGACATCCAAATATTTGGAAAAATACAGAGGAACTTCAGAAACAAATATATTTTACACTGTTTAAATGTTAGTGCAACGTTAATAAAAGAAGGTGGAAGCATATGTGTACCACAGTGATTTCATGATCTCAGAATGGCCACTAATTTCCTCTAATGCTATATGCAACAAATCAGGATGATGCCAAAATAAGAGCACATGCATAATGACATCATCATACAAATGCTGTGTATAAATATGTATTCTAATGTCTTTTCTAAAAATCCTTTTTTAAAGTTGTACAATACAAAAAGACCATACAACTGAGATCAGAAAGAAAGAAGAGAATAGGAAGAAGAGAAATACAAAAAACATCGGGAAAATAAGAAAAGAGAAGAAATTTAAAAAGAATATTTAAAGAAAGAACTACTTATCTTCCTTGCAACAATTACTGACAAATTAATATTTCCCCACTTCTTATGAGATAAAAAACGTAATTCACTTCTTCACATAGTTCCCCCACTCATTTGTAAATTCAAAAACACTGTCTTTCTATCCAAGTGTCAGCAAGGAGTCTCTAAAAGGTGTCTGGACTTCTATAGAAATAATTCTCATTTTCATTCTGATCAAATAAGTTAATGTTATATTCCTTTCTTTTGCTTCTGCCAATTTTAATCTTTAATTAATCAAGTTTCTGTCATGGGATTGAATCTCCATTCCAATTTTTCTTTCTCAAAAATTTCTTCAAGGCTTCAGAAACTCTTTTCTTTATCCAACAATAAGTCCTTGCCCAGATCATATTAAATCTCATGGTTTATCATTTGATTATCACCTCTGTTTTATAATCCAGATTCTTTATTTTCTTTATTACATCTACATTAGCTGGGATTTTTTCACTTCTCCGTCCTGTCTGTCTATAAATTCTTCCATGCTGTCCTTTCACATCTTTTACTTCTTTAGAAATTTCTTCAAATAATGTATTTACAGTTGCAGAGATTATTATTGTCATCTTAATTATATATTTCTCTCTGCAGTTCTTAAAAAAAATTTAAATGTCTCAAATAACATACTTTTGTCTATCATTTTGTAAATTACACTTTTTCTTTTTCCTCCCTAGATCTTTAGTTCCCTCTAGTGTCATATTTTGTATTCCCAAGATCTCAAGTTTCTTTGTTTCTATTTTCAACCTTCAGCCAATAAACTTTTTCTTAATAGACTGAACAATTCACGTTGCCACAAAATATTGTTTTGTGTGCTCAGTTTTTCAAAAGTCATAGCAAAAGTTCTAATATTCCAAATTTGTCAAGTTCTTTATCTCAATTTAAACCTTTTTTAAAAAAATTAAGTTCTTATTTAGCTTTTTGGCATTTTACCTTTACAGTTCCTTAAACTGTTGGTTAGCTTTTCTTCTCTTTTAGAATGAAGTTTTACTTACCAGGTAGTTATATTATTTGGAAAATCTTTTTAATTTTGAAATAATTATAAATCAAAAAGTGATTAGAGAGTGAAATAGACAAACTCAGTATTCTCAAAGGCTCCACTGCAATTGAGAGCTTGATGACTTCTCTTGTCTCCCCAACCTCAGACCAACAGGACAACTACTTTCTGAGCAAGTTGAAAGGAGAAGCTATTTGAAGCTCAGGTGGGCAGTTTCTCATCCTCTTCTTATCCAAAAAGGTTCCATTGGACTGAATTTACCACTAATCCATCAGTTGTTGCATCATCATCCACTCTTTTGGAGATATTTAGTTTACCATTTATTCACCCAGAATTCTCCAACTTGTTTTCCAATGTCTGATGCAAGTATGTAAGCCACAGAATTTGTGTGATGATGTCATAATGGATGTATCTTTCTTTGTCCTTTCCCTGGATGCTTTTGGATTTCTCTGTTAAACAATTGCTTGCGTAGGAAGCTGTTGCCAACACCCAATTCCAGATTTTCCTTTGTGACACTCCTTTCTTAAGTTATTTTCACTCTGGATTGTGTATTTTATCCTATCAAGACTTTCATCGAGCAATCTGTAGCATATGGGATTCATATCTCTCTCTGCTTTTTCCCCCTAGTTTAAATCTATTAATTGGTTTAATATTGTCGACTGTTGTATTTTGATGAAGTCTTGACTAACTGCATAATATCTAAAGTAGTCTTAAAGAACTGTCAACTAATATATCCCTTTTGGCTATCTTGCTAAAGCACTTTATTAATGTAATTTATTAAGCTTTAAAAATAAGTATTATTATTTTGTATGGATTTCATATTAATTTTTTCCTATAGACTAAAAAGTCTATGACTGATAATGTTGCAAAATACAAATCTGAGGAAGACTGCCTAAGCAATGTTTTTCTAAATAGCACATTAACAAAAGAATTTTTTGGAAGGGAACACTAGATTAGAGTTGGCATTTAACTGGAGAACTCTGCTGGTCTAGGAGACAGTAGAAGAGGGAAAGTAGAGGACATAATAGAAAGGTTTGGAAATAGAAAAAGCTTATCACAACAAATAAATATTTGCCTAGTGTTATTCTACTAATATATATCTACTAGACAATATTTTTGCCAATGATACTTTTTAAATATATGGGAGAAATCTAATAATTGCAAAGTTAAATGCAAAAAGTTAAATATTCAAATGTTAAAACAAAGAATGTAATCCTTTGAAAAGCCTTAATTATAAAGTATGAAAAGAAATTATAGGGGAAACAGAAAATCCTACAGCTAGGAGGAGGAGTTAGGAAGTTAAAAATAAAAAATATGCTGATTTTTTTAAAAAATTGAAAATTACAACTTTTACCACTTTGACTGCATAGTTAAACGCTAACTGATGATTTTAGCTATACATTATTTATTATTTCTCTCACTGCGGTTTTTAAGTTCTTAACTGTAATTCACAGTGTTATATTGGAGGCTTTTTGTTCCTATAATCTTACATATTTTTTAAAAAACCTTTCCAACTTTGAGTAAACACTTATTGAGGAATTCAATCATATAATGACTCTTTTTAGCAGAAGTATTATTTATGGTTAAGATTATAATGGGAACCTTATGGCCAAACCTATTTTATATGCCATCTAAAAAATGTTTGCAGTAAGAAAAATTGATTTGAGATTGATTTTATTATCTTGCCTTTTTGCTCAAGCAGAATATAAAAATAGAATCATTCTAAATAAAAAATAGTATAATTAAATACATGGAACCAGTTACAATATTTTAATTGTAACACTATTGAGGCACAAATCTGAATGATTTGCTTTGTCCAAATGGTTCAAGGAACAATTGCAAGTGACTCACACATACCTGTAGAAACAATTAGGCATTAAATATGATCTCAGATTGTAGAATTCCTCTCTCAGAAATCTAACCCCATCTAAGGTAAATTAATTCTCAAAATCAAAGTTTGTTAATTTCAGTTCATCTACCATTACCCATCTTATTTCTGAACTTGAGGATAATTCAACAGCAGAAGAATGTAGTTTCGTTCAAAAAGTGAACAGTGTAGAAAATACGATGGGTCTCTAACATACCATAGGTCAACATCCAGGGAGTTACATGGCCCAGGGACATGGTCAAACAGGAAGGACTGTTGTGTGCTCAAATGAGCAATCCAGGAGGATATTGAATTAAGTTCTATCAGCAATAGAATTATTATTGCCACACCTTTATTCTGAGTTCCATTTCTCAGGGGGAATAATTTCTATCTTTATTAAGGATTTTCACAATCATTTCTATATTATACAGATCAGCCAGGGTTTTGTCAGTATTATATATAGGTAACAATGGAAAAATATAGAATTGACTTCTTCTTGAGATATGGATTGAAAGTATTTTGGTCTCAGGAAATAAGGGAAAGAAGGCAAAGAAATTCAGCACAGATATTACAGTTCCAGAATGTGAAATGTAGGGTAGTAGAAATTGTAGTGGCTAGCTAGGTTAGGAAGGGAAACTATTAACCATTGAACTCCAACAATATCCTGTGTACCCAACTTCAACAATATATGGAATTAGCAGACCATTAAATGAAGTTTGTAATCATACAAATTCAAGTTCTATATTATGACAGCTATATTGCAGAAAGAATGGTACAAAGGAGAAACAGGAAAGCAATATCACAGTCTTTGGAAGAATCCCAAGATTTTCAATTATTGTGTCAAAAGTATGCCAAGGAAAGAGAAGACTGAAGGAGATCCAATTTCCTAACAAGCATATGTGAATATGAACTTTGAAGATTTTAACTGGATTTAGAATTACAGCCTCAGAAGAATGATTACTATATTATGATATGCAACTGTTGAAGTTCATTTGCATCCCCATAAATTATGCAGGAGATATGTATGGGTATGATTTGCTGGATTAATATGAAATCTTTCCTGGGAAATTGCTGATGAAATGTTTAATTTATTTCTATTCTGTTGTTGTAATAACTTCCGCTGTGTTAGGAATGTCAGTTAACACATTCATATGCACATTCATTACAAAAGGCCCATTGAACACAGTGGAATTTATCTTTGAAAAAAAAACATGCATGGATTGTTTGTAAAATTAAACATGCCCCTTTGTCTTGTACTTTCTTTTTTTCCTATAGCATAATTGTGTGGCTTGGATATTATTTCCCATTAAGCTACATTATTTGAAGCAAGACAAAATTTGGTTTGTTTCTGAAAGTGTCAACATAGCAGACACTGTTTTAACCAGGAGTGGGTTCTACTTACCTTTACTACTGGTTTGCAATGGGACCACGCGTACGCAGATCATCAATTATGACATCTGGGTGGGTGGGCGGAGCCTCCCGCTGCTTTTACTACCAGTTCTAAAGAACCGGACAGAACTGGGAACAACCCACCACTGGTTTTAACCCTATTCTGTAGCCCTGTATATTGATGAGCAGTATATAGATAGTCCTTGACTTACAACAGTTCATTTAGTGACTGTTCAAAATTACAGCGGCATAAATGTGACTTATGAACGTTTTCCATAGTCCTGACTTTTCCAACATCCCCACAATCAAACAGTGGAAACTGTTTCATATTTATGACCGTTGCTGTGTCCCAGGATCATGTGATCATCTTTTGCGACCTTCTCACAAGCAAAGTCAATGAAACCAGATTCATTTAACAACTTATTACTAACTTATCAACTGCAATGATTCACTTAACAACTGTGGCAAGAAAGATCGTAAAAGGAGGCAAAACTCACTTAACAAATGTCTCACTTAACAACAGAAATGTTGGGCTCAATTGTGGTTGTAAGTCAAGGACTACCTGTACCAAGAAATAAAAGCAAAGTGATTGCATATGCTAAAGTAGATAGTACTTCACATGGGCACAAAACATCTAGATGTTTATATTGGTTTTGAGAAGCCATCTTCATCTAACAATTTACTTGATTAAGATGATGTTTTAAGTTGGATTCCTAATGTTTATCTCTGTTGCCTTGTGTTCTTTTAGAACAATAGATTTGGCTTTAATGAAGTGTTCAGTGAAAAGTAGAGCATAAAAACTGATGAAAAAATGCTAACAAAGCAGCTTTCTGCATAATCAACATTGCCAGCTGAGCAGTCTGTCCCACGCTCAAATACTTACATTTTTTCTCTTCCTTTTTACTCTCATTGTCTGATGGGCGAGCAGGCAACCTTTTGACAGCCAGTTTTTAAAGATGCATCTAAGGGCTGCAGCAAGTGGGTCTCTGATCTGTGCTGTCATCAGAATGGATGGATATAGATTAATTTGGGGGTCCATCAAAGAATAGCAGTTTTGTGGGTTATTTTTATATTTTGCATGTGTTAACTCTGAATCAAAGCCTATACAACATTTGAATACTTTTTTCTGTTGAAATATGATAGGAAATTGGATTTTGTTTTTTCATAATTTGTCACCAAAATTTGGTAATAAGACCCGTGGGAGTTCTGGGAAATGTATAGGCTTGCAGTCAGCAATGTAATGCCTCCTTTTAAAATTTCAATTCTTTTTTAACTGTAAATTTATTTTATCATCTTTACAAATCCAGTTGAAATCAATAGAATTGAAATTTATGTTTCAGTTCCCTTCACTTTGGACTAATTTGGATATTCCTTAATCTTCAACAGATGATTTTTTTTTCTTTCCTGTGCTAAAATACATTTTATTATATACCAACCTGCCTTCCATTGAGGACCTGTATACTGCATGAGTCAAAAAGAAGGATGTGAAATATTTACAGACCCCTCGCATCCTGGACATAAATTGTTTCAACTCCTACCCTCAAAACAACGCTATAGAGCACTGCACACCAGAACAACTAGACACAAGAACAGTTTTTTCCCAAACACCATCACTCTGCTAAACAAATAATTCCCTCAACACTATCCAACTAGTTATTAAATCTGCATTACTATTAATCTTCTCATCGTTCCTATCACCCATCTCCTCCCACTTATGACTGTATGACTGTAACGTTGTTGCTGGTCTCCTTACGATTTATATTGACTGTTTCCTAATATGATTTGATGCTTATTTGTTCCCTATGACTATTATTAATATGATTTGATTGCTTATTTGTTTCCTATGACTAGTGTTGTACCTTATGATTCTTGATGAACATATCTTTTCTTTTATGTACACTGAGAGTGTACGCACCAAGACAAATTCCTTGTGTGTCCAATCACACTTGGCCAATAAAGAATTCTATTCTATTCTATAGATATTATTTATCATTCTGATTTATAACTAATTCATAATTTCTATGGGAAGTTATAAATGTTATTTAACAGGAGGATTTAGCAATATTCCAATTTCTGAGACTGTTTCAAGACTGTTTTGAGACTGTTTTGTTGCCTGAATCTTTTTCCCTTTGCTAAGCCTGCATATTGTTTGCGAGTCATGAGATACTTGATAGGGAGAAAAAAAATGGTCTTTTCTTTGTTTCAGATCCGGACATGGATTCTTACAGTGGGTTATACGACTGCATTTGGGGCAATGTTTGCAAAAACATGGAGAGTCCACGCAATCTTCAAAAATGTAAAAATGAAAAAAAAGGTGAGGGTTTTTTTTAAAAAAAAAATAGTTCTATTCACTCATGTCTGATTGCTTCTACTTTTTTTTGTCTAACTGCTGATCAAAAAATATCATTGGAAATCTTTATTGATTATTTGCTTTAACATTTTGCCTCTTATCTGTAGCTGCTAACATTCTTGTATCTTACATTGGATACTCATACAAAGCCATATATGATGTCATAAAGTGACATTTGACTTGAATCAGGTTTAGAAGTCCCAAGATGGAGGGGCTTTGAATTGTGAAAGCAATCCAACTGAAGAAAAAGTTCTTAAATATTAAGCCAGAAGTCTCTGCAATTGAAATTGGTTGTCATGGTTGATATATTGCCATTTTGTTCTTATGACCCAAAAGGAAGAATCAGCTTGATGCACACCTGACTTATAGATGTTAGTCCAATTTAAAAAGTTGGGTGAGGAAACTCTCCCAAACATTCTTGAGTTTAGCATTTGCAATTTTTAAAATGCTGGATGGAGTAGATTCATTAATTCAATAGACTACGTACATCCCTAGGTATAGGATGGACAGCTTCTATTGTGTAGTATTGTAAGTAATATTATAAGGTAGATATATTGAGGCTGCATATGGTGTGCAATTTTGGATGTGAAATAACATATTCCTCTAAAATGGGTGTAATTTATGATTGAAGCTTTATAGCTTGGACCTGGGCATATTGCCACTGTGCTTATTTTTTCTTGTCTAGCTGTCAATCTAGACTGATAGAAATCATGATATATGACTGCCAAGGGCCTTTGTCTTGTATTTCATTGGCTGGCTCTTCCTTTGTAATCTGCATGTCACTGGCCTTTTGTCAAAAACAGATTTGGCAAATGCAGGTTGGGGAATTACATATTCTATGGTGTAATCTGCATGGAAGAAACAATGAACTGTTGGAAATAATAGAAAATAGGTTTTCCTATACTATTTATAGAGAGTTCCATATTTTGTGAATTAAGTGTAAACTGTGTGGGTGGAATGGAATGTTCTATCTTTTATTTCTTAGGCTAACAATTTTCTCTGTTGTCCTTCAGAAGTTTGAAGTTTCTGATTATAATTAGGCAAAAATCATCAACTTCTAAGATTTTGCCTTCTACCTTTAAAAAATTCTATAGGAATTACTGCATGGGGAAATGCTGAATTACATCAGTGGTGGGTTCCTCCTGGTTCTGCCCGGTTCCGCCAAGCCAGTAGCGGTGACTACATTCTGAATTATTTGTAGCTTCCAGATAGCTTTCAAGCGTTGGCTCATGTAAAGGTTATTGCAATATGGATATTGAACACCTCATGAAGAGCCTTCTGATAGGTAGGACTGGGTAAAATTGCTACAAAAGCTGAAGTTGTACAAGGGCTCTCCTGGCCATAGGTGTCACAACTCCTCATATAGGAGCCTTGAGTTCAGGAAAGCATTCTAAGGAAAATTATTAAGCAAGTGATCTGGCATCAATTCCAGAAGATCCTGGAAGAAACTGATTATTTGAACTTGGTTCAATTTCATTTTGATTTTGGGCCAGAGGTATAGAGATAGCACTTACTGATGACCTTTGGTAGAACGATACAAGCTGGAACTGATAGGAAGGAAAGAGAAAACTACATTAACACTGTGTCTCCCAGTCCCATTTTCAACACCCTGAGCTGGTTCAGATGGATATCTTGATAGTACTGAAGGCTGCTGAGAGCTCAAAGAGAGAAGAATAAATGCACTCTCCTCAGGGGTGGGTTCTACTTACCTTTACTACCAATTTGCAACAGGATCATGTGTGTGTACTGGCTTCGCTCGCATGCGCTTCTGTGCATGTGCAGAAGCTTCTGAGCATGCACAGAAACTTCCTGATGACGTCTAGGTCAGTGGGCGGAGCCTCCTGCTGGTTTTACTACCAGTTTTTGCGAACCAGTCTGAACCGGGGGCAACCCACCACTGACTCTCCCCATTGAGAGCCCATTAAAAATGCAACTAATGCTTGATACCATGTTCAGTCAGAAACCAAATTGAAAGTGGCCCCAGAATATGCTGCTGAATATGTAAAACAGGCACATTAAACCTCCAATATATGTAAAATAAGAGCATTGACCTCACTCCAAGCCATAAAAAGTCCCTGGAGATGTCATTGTGTCAACTGAATATTCTTGAGGGTACTTTTAAAAAAATATTTTTTAAAAATATCCAGACCTATTTTAAATAAACCTTGGTTATCACTTATGCTTCAATACTGTTCCAACTATGTGGTTTTAGTTTCTAAACCCTTGTTTAGAGACCACTTTGTTTAACATTAGAGTTGTTTTATTTTTAGGCTTTAGATTTATAGATATAGATTTATTTTAGAGCTTTACAGGTACACACTGTGAGAATCAGTTTGGCATAGTAGCTAAGACATAAGGCTAGAAACCAAGAGATTGTGAGTTCTATTCCTGCCTTGAGGACTAAATGACTTTGGGCTAGTCAAATACTGTACTCTCAGTCCTAGGAAGGAAGCAATGGCTAACTACTTCTGAAAAACCTTGCCAAGAGAACTTCAGGAATTGTCCAAGTCTTGAATAAAAGAAACACCCACACACCCATATCAATTTGAATCTAAAGAAATAATAATGATACTCTAACATATTACCACACACCATGGAAGGAGTACAATGGGCAAGTCTATATCATATTTGCTGTCTCCAAGATGCTTGGTTCCAAGATTTAAGAAACGTGATACAAAGTTGAATCACCATTAGATTAGATTCTTCATTTCTTTGAATTTTGTAATGTGTTTTGGCTCAAAAGTTGTTTGTAATAATGTATGCAAAACATGTACATAATAGACATATTGGGAAAAACTTTGTACTATTCCTTGCATTTCTTTTAAAAAAAATTGGATGATGGCACAGACATTTGATCAAATAAATTTATAATTAAATATGTGTGAAACTGAAATGGATTTAGATGTATATTCATACTTGGAAACTGAAAGCTTTCCCAACTTAAAGTGTTCAGAATATAGCTTAGAACAGGGGTGTCAAACTCGCGGCCCACGGGCCAGATGTGTCACGCACTGGCCACGCCGAGTTTAGTGAAGGGGGGAAATTGTGATACATCATGTGATGACACCATGACAATGCGAGTTTGACACCCCTGGCTTAGAAAGTAAGCAGTTCAATTGTAGTAATCACAAAAAATATTTTTTCTATTAATTATATTCTTGTCAAATCTGAACAGTATAGAGTGGCAACAATAAGCTGCTGAAAGGTAGGAAATAAATCTAAAAAATAAGCAAATATTTTGTGGCTGTTCTTCTCATCTCACCAAGCTGTTTATAGAGAGTCCTCAAGTTTACTGGAGCCTATTTGTACTATGTATGTACCCTTCCTAAGCAATGCTGAGGATAACATACTGTGGAGATAGATATGAAGATCCCTAAAGAGATACAGCTAGTCCTCTGTTAACAACCAGAATTTCCATTGCTAAGCAAAGCAGTTGTTAGGTGAAATGCATAACCACCCTGCATAGTGACAACAAATTCGGTTAGTCGCGGTGCAATCATTAGGCCAGGACATCTTGCTTCTCCTGCCTTCTCCTGCTTATCTTTGCTTCAACTGCCCCCACCAGCCTATCTCCCCACAACTGCTGTCCCTTCGCAAGGTCTTCACACGGCCTCACTGAATACTTGTGAAGCTCTACAGAGGCCTCACAAGGCTTTGGGGAGATGCATCTCATCATTGGTGGAAGCTGACAAACTGGTCTCCTTTTACTGTAGATTAATGTTAGATTTCTCCTTAATTCATTCTGATTTATAAATATGTATGGGGGGAGTCATTTGATAGAGGTAAAAATCTTCATCCTAAATAAATTGAGCATGACCAAATGCACTATTTAAATGCCATCTGTTGAAAATGAACTGCCAAATGGTGACTTATATTTAATGTTTCCCAGAATTGTCGTTTATTTCAAAATAAGAAAAAATAGAAACTTGGTACTTAAAACTTCAAAAAATGAATTAGAATATGCCTCCTAATTTCATGTGATCAGTGGTATTTTTTTCTAGAGCAATGACAGAATAAAATTGTTTTTCTTTAATTTTTTGAGATATCCCAATATATTTTTAGTAAGGAGGATCAAACACACTTTTAAAAAAATTGCATTCTGAGAGGCAATGTGCTGGGGACCATGTGCCAACTGATAGAGATCAAAGAAACAAGAGGATAGTGCCAATATCATCCATCATCTCTCTTTGGACATGACTTTTTTCTCTACTGTCATACTCTTTTTCTTTCTTTTTCTGTTTCCCCTTTCTCTCCCTCTCCTGTCTCTTCCAATTCAGAAGACTGATTGTTTTTGTCAGAGTAATCACTTTTGCCCTTCCAGAAAGTCATGAAAACCAAGCTATTCTGGTGGGCTTTGGGTAATTGAATTCATCTTTGTAAATTAGACTGTTAATTGTATATTATTGAATAATTATACAATTGCTGCTGGTTTTGGTGGTATTATTAAATTATGGTACTAGAAGTGTGATTAGTTGGGCAATTTGTAGTAATATTTTTGTCAGGAACCTTTCAGTATTATGCTGTTTACTATGAACATTTTGGTTATAGTTTTTGTAAGCTTTCATAATTTGAAACCATTTGGGAGTATACAAATTTAATGTATCAAATTAAATTAACTTCTTGCTTCAAGGACTTTTGAAATTCGGCTGACAGCCACAGGTTGCCCATCTCCAAACTAGGATGAGATGTACTGGGGGTTGTATGCAATCCAGGAATATGTAAATGTACAGTTGGGGACAAGGCCTACTGAAATCAAAGTTTCATATTTTTGAAAGTATATACAGAATTATGGTATAAATTAATGTCATTTCAAAATCCATTCAAAATAGTAAGAATTAAGTTAGATCATGAATAAGTGATTCAAACATTATCTAAATGCAACTGATTCACTGTGGCTTCACAGTTAACTCTATGGTTTCTATTAAATGAAGTATAGTGAGAACATGTACTGAATAAAACAAATATTTAAAACAGGTTTCAGCAGTTTACAGACTTTAGCTTATTCATGTAACCTCAATCTAATTTTAACAGCCTTTTGCAAAAAAAAAAAAAAAAGTTGCCTTCTAGCAAGAGAGATCTGTCACTTCTACTTGTCTGCTGGGCAAAAAAAAAATAGAGTGAGAAACTGATGGCAGAAAAAAATAGAAGAGTGAAGAAAGAGGGAGTGAGAGAGAAAAGGGTTGGTCCATCCACTTTTGACCACTCACACACTCTCTTGCCTTTAGCCTACCTTTAGTGGATTATCCTGAAGAGAATATTTTTTGATTAGGATAGGGATAAATAAGATTTTAATCTTAAGAGAATTGAATGCCACTAAAAGTATTTCAGGAGAGCCAATTTGGTATAGTGATTAATGCTCTACGCTACAAACAGGGAAGCTGAGTTTTTGTCCCATTTTGGGACAAAGCCAGTTGGGTTACTTTGAGCCAGTTATTTCTCTCAGCCCTGGGAAGAAGGCAGTAGCAAATCATTTCCAAAATCTTGCCAATAGAAACTAGTCCAGACAGTGGCCAGTATAGCAAGAGAGTGATTCCTTATTTTGCTTTATGGAATTGGAGGTCCTCTTTCAGTGCAGTGTCAATATGTTTTTATTTTACATAACTGTCACGTACAAGGGTAGGCAAAATTTCAAAAAGAACCTGATTTACAGTTTAACTATATTTTTTCCTGAATTATTTAAGTTGTGCAAGAAAAAAGTAAAGTGTTTTCGGTTCATGAAGAATGCATTTAAATTTCAACTTTTCTATTGTCGTCATACTGTTTGATTTATATATTAGTGTTTTTTAGACTGGGCTAGCAAACAAAAAATCAAATAAATGTAGGTTGTGAAATGAATTTTACTATGGTCAAGTAAGTGAAGATCTTATCCATGCATAATTAAAATGCCTTATTAACTGTGCATTGTCTGATTTATGGCTCTTAACAAAGAGTCTAGAGTATTTCTGAATTCAATGTAAACATCTTATTCTTTATTTTGTTTCCATAGATCATTAAGGACCAAAAACTAATGGTGATCGTTGGAGGAATGCTACTGATAGATCTTTGCATCTTGATTTGTTGGCAAGTTGTTGATCCTTTGAGGAGAACAGTGGAAAAATACAACATGGAGGTCTGTCATTTCAGCTATTTTATATTAATGGTTTTCCAGTTAGTTGTTTAAGATTGTAATGCAAAATAAAATAAAAATGTATCCAAAATGTTAAGGATATATCATTTAGTGGATGCATATATCACAAATAGAATATGTATGTCTCTCTGTGTGTGTATCTCGCATCACACAAATGAAATCCAGCATCTCTACCATGCTTAAGAGGTTTTAGATGCAGAAATATTGTAAACACCAGGGAGCTGTCTGCTAAAAGTCTATAAGAGACGGTGTTGCAATAAATAATAGATTTTCGGACTCCATTAGCAGATTCATGAGGAACTAATGCAAGCTACACATAAAATAAAAGCATAATATGAAGTTCCAAAGATTATCAAAACTAAGCTTCCTTTTCTATTGTTGATCTTTAGGTATTGTAATATCACTGTCTATTACTTTGGTCAAATTAGTTGATTTATGCAGAATGACTAGTCCAATTTTGGTATTTTAAAAAGAGTCACCCTAGAAATATAAAAGTCAAGGATGAAATACTCATAGTATATTGTTTATTATCAGATTTGCCAGTTGTGTATGGTAACAATTTCTTGAAAGGAAGGAAGTAAACTTTCTTTAAAATACAGTAAAAAATAGTGAAAAAGTTCTTTGCCTGTAAATTTCTTTGTATTGCAAAAATGAGTTTTGTATTGAAGTAAAATATATGAAAAAATAATTTAAAATGTAATATCTGTTTTATATTATATTTACCTATATTTGCTGGAGTACCAGTTGGTTAAAGTACTGGATTAAGACTAGGGAGACCTGAGTATCTCATACTTGCATAAGCCCAGAAGTCAGCTTGGTGACTGGCCCAATTACTTTCCGCACTAGGAAGAAGGCATTGCCAAACCACTTCTGAAAATGTTGCCAAGAAAACTGCAGGGACTTACCCATGTAGTTACCAAGAATTAAGACTGACTTTAATAAAAGGTGAACAATTTATGCAGTCGTTATTTTTTATTTATTCTATTTCTTTGAATTTATTAGTTACCCAACTCCAGTGAACTCTGAACAAAAACTGACTTGATGGCCCAAATAACCCCTTCCATTAAATCCCTATAATATATTCGATTTATAAGCAAAAATACATTGAACCAACAGTATTGAATAACCTATATAGATTATTAAACCTTCAAGTATTTTTTGTAAAATGGCCAGTCCTTGTGTTTTTGTATTATACTGCTTGGGGGCCACTTCTCCAAGTATTCATTAGGTAGTCTTTTCTGAAATAGATTGGCTTCCCAAGAGATTATCGGCTCTGGCATAATTGCATACCATCAGTCATTAAAAATTATACATTCATGGAGTTACGTGTGTGTGTGTGTGTGTGTGTGTGTGTGTGTGTGTGTGTGAGCGAGTGAATGAGTACAGGGTATATCAAAAGTCAGCTCCCATAGATAATTTATTATATAACATTACATTAAATGTTTGGGTTGGTTAGGATTTTTTCAAAACATTTCCTTACTCTTGTTTGACACATGACCTTTGATAGTACAACTGAAAAGTAATATGCTATGAATGTAAAACATTGTATAGTGAGCTTCTGGCAGATACAATATCTTGGAAAAGTTGAGCTACCCAGGTACAATTTATTACTAAACCAAATTGACTTACTCATGTTTAGTGTTGGAACATTTTGTTAAGAGTTCCATTTATTTTTATGTATGATTTATTTTTATCAGCAGCCAACTTTCAATATATTCACATAAAATGCTTTCTAATTTAGGCCTACTCACATTATATACACATGCTCCAAAGCAATAAACTTCCTTTCTCACATTCATGTATTTCTCTTTTTTAAAGTAATTTTTTATTAACTTTATAAGGATATAAATATAAAAGAAAATGAAAGTAGTAGGAAAAAGGAGCGGGGAAAGAAAAGCACTGATTCCAAATCATTTTAGCATACTAGAATAGGATAATAACATTACAGGCATTTTACTTTTTACTTTTATATGCTAATATATGTAAGCTATTTCTGTAGCAACAAGCCTACCTAATTATCAAAACCCAAAGTCGGTTTCATTTTTTTCTATCTCAAGCGGTTTCCAAGTAGAAACAAAGCTGGATGGGTTCTTTTCTTTGATTAAGGGCATTCACACATTTTTCAATAAGTACCTGAAGAGCATTTCCCAAAGTTTCATAATTGTCTATTATTTGCACCTTTATAAATCAGAATTTTAACTTTTATCACACATTTATATTTATATAATCCACTACTTTCTCCCAAAACTTGGTATGTACAGTATAGAAACATGTTTTAAAGAAGCATTATTCTTATCTCCCATGAAATGCTGTTTTTGACACTCCTTTTCTATGCAAACATAATGGAATCCAATAAGTTCTAAATAATATTTTTTTATTGTATGTCATAATTTGAAGTCCATTGATATTTTCAGTTTCCAGAAAACCCTTCCCACTGATAGCAATGGATTTACTTAATGGCTGTGCAAAACAAGGTCATAAAATGGAGTCTGGTCATGTGGTGACCAGCTTTATGACCGTCTCAATTTACAACCGTAATTGCGGGCTCAGTTACGGTTATAACTTGAGGATTACCTATACTCATCTCATTCCCATCCTTTCATCCATGTATATTATCATCTGATCATCACACTGAGTTGTACAATTTTTCATTTTACTTCTATACTTTATTTACCCAACTTATTTTATAGGTATTATATTTTCCCTTCTCTGTTAATTCTACAAACATCCTGCCTCCTCTCCTCATATAATTGAAAAGGACCTTAGAAGTCATCTAGTCAAGCTTTGTGTTCAATTCAGGATTTGCTAGAACATTTCTGACTGAGAGAAATCCAGCCTCCGTTTGAAGATTTCTAATGGGAGAGAATTCAACACATCACATAGCAGCCTATTTCATGCAGTTTCATACAATCGGGAAGTTCCTATCCTGAACCCCTCCTGCCTTGTTGTTTTAACCCATGAGCTTCGGCCCTGTGTTCTTGATCAACAGATAATAAATCTGCTTTGTCTTTTGGGTGACAATACTTTAGCTATTTGAAAATTTATAATACCTTCCATTAATCTTTTTTTTTTTCTGGTAGTTTAAACAATACTCAACTTCTTTAACTGTCCTTCATGGGGACAATTTGTTTTTTACATCTTCACCATTTTGGTAGCTCTCTGAAATTGCTCAAATTTGCACTGTACTTTTTGAACTGTGATGCCCAGAATTTAGCAAGATATTCCAAACATGGCCTGATCACAGCCAAATAGAATATAAAAATCATTTCTTGTTATGTACTGTAGCTTTATATACATTAACCCCATTAATGGTAGCTCTTGGAAATCTCAACTCATTTTAAGATTTAGCCCTTCCTTCCTTCCTTCCTTCCTTCCTTCCTTCCTTCCTTCCTTCCTTCCTCCATCCATGTTTTATCATACATTCCTCTTACATTCCAGGTTACAATCTTATAAAATGGTCATCAAAATATGGTTCTCTGTTTGTCAAATTAATGCTTTTAATACCCTGTTTCCCCCAAAATAAGACATCCCCTGATAATAAGCCCAATTGGGCTTTTGAGTGCATGGCAATAAGGCCAAGCGCTTATTTCAGGGTTCAAAAAAATATAAGACAGGGTCTTATTTTCAGGGAAACATGGTAATTTTTTTTTAAAAAGAGTAGACTTGATTATCAGCCTTAGTCATGCCTACACTCTATACCAGTATTCCTGGCTAGTGATAAAGATAATACTTGTCACTTCTAGCACTTTTATAGTCAGATTCTGTAAGCATAATCAAAGCCCAGTTTTATAGCAAGCATGCTTTTTTTCTTTCCCTGCAAGCTAGGAACTTTGATTTAAAGCACCCAGCAAACCATCACATCTAACCAACTAGGAGCTACGTGCAGTGTGCTATTTCTACACTCAATATACTTTTATATATACCATACTATAATACAGAAATAGACATTTTAATTTTATTTTTTTATATGCTGCCATCAAAGCCAAATTTCCCAACTGGCTTATGCCTTTCTTTCTTGTATAGCTTTTTGTAGATTGAACTGCAGTACAAAATTTAGGGAAGTGTTAATATTGAAATATGCAGCACGTCTGTTTGCTCACTAGATAGGGAAATGCAATTACGTGTGCATGAAAATCAAAGCTGTACTCCAGTTGATGTTCAGTGGTCACCAGATGCTTATACTGATTTAACTGGGTTGTGATTCACTAATCTCTTCCATTCACGAAAGGGAGATGAGGCTTCTTTTTAATGTCCAAAAGCAATTAGTCTCTGATTTAATCTCTTTAACTGTACAACTGTGAGATGAATTGGTGCACAAATAAAATATCAGAGACAAGATCAGTACTCCCGATAAAAAAACTATAATGCTGCATATAATGAACCTGATAAAATATTTTGTATAGCATTTACCTACCAAGGTTTTCTATATACCTCGTAGAATTGGGAAATAAAGAAGAGGGACAATGGCTGTGATGAGAAAAACGTATCACTGTTTTTGCCTTTATTAAATAAGATACTGACCTTTTAAAAGTTTAGCATTTATACCAATCTCACCTTCCAAAACTGATGGAGAAGGGAATTGTGGAAAAAAGAACTAAAAGAAAGAAACTAGAAACAGCTTAAGACCAATCAACTGAATTGGACTGCCTTCTTTTTCATATTAATCTCATAGTCCTTAAAGGTAATTTCATGAATCTTGTTCCAAGTATGTTATGGGTATCAGGGATAAGACCAAGCCATCTTTGTATAAAGAGTGTATTTCTGGAATGGGTTCTCCAGAGTGAATTCAGCATGGTATGTAGCATTCATTTGATACACTAGTATTTTAGACGTTATTGGAGGTTTTAAAATAGTTTTATCTCTGATATTACATTGATTCTAAACATTTGTCCTGACTTGTTAGGGGACCTCTAAAGAATTTATGTCAGAAAGGCAGCATGTAGATAGCTTAACCTTGTTAAAGAAGTAGGAAACTAGTAATC